CACAAATGGCAACAGTTACACTCACAACCGATGGCGGGATGAATAATTTCAAAGTCAGTAATTATATTGCTAGACGCGAGTTATTCAACTGTAAATTGATCCTTGACATGCAAACGCATACTAGAGAGACAGACCTTGTAATAGACGAACTTTTTCCACCGAGCGTAAAATACAGGATTTGTAAAAGGATAACCCCCACGCCTCCTGAGAACGAAATTGTCGCGCTCCACGTTTAGCAAAGACATACAGAGTTTCAAAATACCCTTCGAGAATAGAGGACACCTATATGAGGGTTTTGAGAAACGTATCTCTGGAGTTATTACTTTAGCAGAGAAGTATACTCTGAAAAAAAGAAAATAGCGCGCGCACAGAAGAAAATATTGCCTTTTGTAACACAATCTCATCCGGCTTTGCCAAACCTCAAGAACATACAGATGAAGGATTTTGACACCTCAACACTGACCCTTATTATCACATCGCAAAGGAAAGTCATCTTAAGATATCCTAATAAGAGGTAAAATTTGAGGGTAGAAGATTAAAAAGCGCTAGCAAATGGTAGGAGACGCACAGGCCTCTCAACATCTTTCAACAGTCGACTGCCTTTTGTTTTCCGGCTTTCCGGCGTGCCGCCTCACGCAAGGTAGAGGTTTTCATGGATCAAGTGACTCTTTTCATTGCTCTAATTAAACTGTCCTTCATTCAATGATCAAGATAGAAGATTTACCACACAAAACTCGCGATTATTTGATTTTCTTTCACTTAGGAAAGCAGACTTAAAACGCGTTTGATGAATGCCCTTGCAGTAGTAACGCAATGTAACGCAACACACTTAACACAACAAAGGGCCTTTTCGCTCCAAAAAAAGGGTCTCAAACACTGTCACCTAAAATGCTTAAAACATTTGTACCGTTGGAGCGCGTTTAAGCACGTTTGATCAGAGCTGTTGAAGAAGGATCAAAGTGGCCATACAAATCTTTGAAAGGCTTCAAACCACGACGTACAACGAATTTGACCTGCTCGAATAGCGGTCTCAAATTACATGCTAAAATACAGTGCATGCGTTTGTCTTTGAGAACGATATAATACGTGACAAATACGCACGAAAAATATTTCTACACGTTCAGAATATATCAAATTATATTTACCTATAGTGAAAGGAAAAAGAAAAGGCCTAACATTTACGGAATATTCAGTCAAACTCTACCCATTTCTACTGCTTTTACCGCCATATTGAAAATAACGCTACCACAATGCAATGAAATCAGAGTGCGCACACCGCCTGGTTACTCACTGTAGATGTGAATGCAGTTTTAGCGATCTCAAAATAAACAAACAAGAAAAAAAGACAGAGATTTCTCTCGTTCAGCTTTACCTGGACCATTGGAATCTTTCTTCACTTTCTTTTTCTACAAACGTAAAAGAGAACCAAAAATTTAAGCGTGTGCGGCGAAAAGGGAGAATAACAAAAAGCAACCTTTACAATATGTTGTAAGTTAAACTACTAGAGAAATCATTACAGACCCGCAGACTACAATGCAAAACGAAGGAAGGAAGGAAGGAAGGAAGGAAGGTGGGTAGAAATGTAGGGTGAGCAAGCAAGCAAATTTCCTTTAAGTCGGTCGCTGGACCGAAGAAGCTGAAAAAGAGAAGTGACTTGTCGTTCAACTCACCAGTCACGCTAGAGTGGAAGCAACGATTTATAAACTAAAAGCGACTATTTATGAAGTAATTTAGTTTTCTCAGACGACAAAAGGCAAAAAAAAAAGAAGCAAAGAAAATTCATAGTCTCACTTATACTCGTCACGTCGGAGTGAAAACAATATTAGTTAACTGCAAGAAAAGATTAGTGGCAGCTGTATTAATTTGCCAAATGCCTGAGGATTACACTTTTGGGAATCAGTATTCACGACAAAGTATTCTGTGACATGCTTTCGAGACAAGGATCCCCGATTGGCTGATGCAATGAGAGGATAATCTCAACAAATACTTCATTCCAAGAATAGCTTTAAAATAACAAAAGCGACAAGACTTCATTGTTTCGAGTCAAATTCCGGAAATTCAAGTTTCTGTTCTCGCCCCTTACTCAGAGAAGACAGGCAAACTATGGATATCAAAACGTTGCTTCACAATCTTCGCGAAGAGGTCTCTTGTCCAGTGTGTACTAGCATATACACGGATCCAAAACAGCTCCCATGTCTTCACAGTTTCTGTCTGCAATGCTTGAAACAGTGGCACAGAACAAGCCATGGCCGAGACACAATAAGATGTCCGAAATGCCAAGTTGTTAGCAGGGTGCCCGATAATGGCGATCTGAAAGACCTTCCCACCAGTTTTTATCTGAATGGCTTGATTGATGTACTGGCCATTAAAGAATGCAAAACCAGCCAAGTTGGATGTGGAAATTGTCAAAAGAAAAGCTCCAGGTGTTGTTACTGTTTTCATTGTTGCATGTTTTGGTGTGATGAGTGCCTCATTGGACATAACATCATTCAAGGCAAAAAAGATCACCGTGTCTTGGCGCTCAAAGAATTTCAAGAAAAGGACTGAGGATGTAATAAAACGACCCTTGTACTGCTCGAAACAACGGCACGAAAAAGAAGAACTTAAATACTTTTGCAAGAACTGCGAAACGGCAGCTTGCCAAAGCTGTGTTTTGATAGATCATGCGGGTCACGCCATTACGCACCTAGAGGAAGAAGCGGAAAAACAAAAGTTGGAAATGAAATCCTTGATTAAAACACAGAGGCGCGATTTACAAGAAGAGATTAACACTATGGGTCGACTGAATGAAGACTGCGCTAAATTGATACAACAAAGCAACGACATAAAGAGAGAAGTGCAGACGTTTGTGGACAATTTGATTGCAACTATTGAAGCGAAGAAACAAAATATCTTTACAGCGGTGAACGATGAAACGAAGAGATTTCTCGACACTCTAACAACGCAAAAGACGGAGATCGAGGGTGCAATAAAGATCATCGAATCAACGCTGGAAAAGGCTGATACAATTCTAAAACGAAACACTCACGCCGAAGTCGTTCAGGAGAGGAAATCATTGGAGAAAATTTTTCAGGGAGCTGATCAGAGCCAGCCAAAAAACTGTTTGCCAGAAAGGCTTCCTGTTTTTTTTTCGTGGAAAACCCACAGACGGTTAACACAATAAACGCCGAAGAAATTGGAACTTTGCAAATGGAAAGCCGAACAAAAGCAAGTCAATCAATCGCTGACGGCAAAGGACTTAAAGAGTCAATTGCTTTCCATGAAGCGCAGTTTACTTTGACTACAAGTAACTTTGAAGGAAAAGAGTGTTACAATAAACGTGACAATGTAACAGTGGAGATTAGAGATGAACAAGGACGAGACTGCGCCACGGACTTGCGAATAACTGACAATAAGGATGGACTCTATCAGATCAGCTATTCTGCCAGAAATGAAGGAAGATGTGAAGTGACGGTAAAGGTAAACGGGGAACATGTTCGGGGAAGTCAATTTTTTGTCCTCGTAAAACCATTTCAGTTTAGACCTGTTTTATCATTTGGAGAAGCGGGTTCCACTCTTGGAAAGTTTGATTGGCCTTGGGGGGTGACGGTGAATGCTAGAAATGAGATCGCTGTAACTGATAAAAACAACGACAGAGTTCAAATTTTCAGTAGTGAAGGAAAGTATTTAAGATCATTTGGTAAGGTTGGTGATAAAGCGGGAGAATTTAATAAACCGCGCGGAATAACATTTCATAGCAATGGGAAAATTTTCGTAGCAGACAGTTTTAATCATAGAATTCAAATTTTTGAGGAAGCAAAGAATGAGCCCGTGGGAAGCTTTGGCAGTAAAGGAAACCATGATAGTCAGCTTAAAAGCCCCATGGGATCATCTGTAGACAGTGATGGGAACATCATTGTTGCTGATAGAGGTAACAACTTAGTCAAGATCTTCTCTTCTGATGGCAAGTTTTTAAGAAAGATAGGTAAACAAGTCTCTTTCATTTTCCCCGTACACTGCATTCAGTATGATAGATATCTCATAGTGTCAGACAGAGAAGAACATTGTATAAAAGTTTTTGACACGAATGGAAACTTTCTGTACAAGTTTGGAAAGGAGGGTGTAAGGAACGGGGAGTTAAATTATCCCACATGTTTGTCAGTGAACAAGTCAGGACACATTATGGTCTGTGACTCATATAATGGTAGAATACAAGTCTTTGAACTGAATGGGAAGTTTGTTGGAAAGTTTGGAACAGTAGGTAAAAAAAATGTAGGAGAATTCATGAATCCAAATGCACTTGCTTCTCTCAGTACTGGGCGATTTGTTGTTGTTGATAGTGTCAATCGTCGTATTCAAATAACTGAGTAGTCTTCGATCGCCTTACTGAACTGTTTTGCTTATTTTGAGCAGAGTTATTAATTCAACCGGTTATTATTACTCACTTTCTACATAAATTGAGTTCTATAAAAAAAAAAAATGAATAGAAACAAAGTAATTAGGAAGAAATGAAAATACCTGTGAAGCATCCCGATATAAGCGTATTGCTACTGAGAATGTCATGTTTACAGAACTTTTACAATATATTTGGTTAGCATTAATTTAACAAACAGAAAGATCTGGTTAATCATCATGATTAAGTTCATGTACAATAACAGCAACATAAATTTACATTCACTTTTGATGTTGAACAGAATTATCTTCATTGTTAAGTAGGATACAGGTTTGAAATTCTGTGGGGAAAGTTGCGTCTAAATATCTATGTAGATAAACTAAAAAAAAATTCATATAAGTCGTGTACAGCTTCTTTGAAAAACTTCACAGCATTTTCTAAGTTGTGTACTTTGCAAAAGCTTTACGATCTTGGAAATAACAAGAGTACAAAGGATTTATTTCCATAATAAGTAATAAGGGTGCAGAGCACTTTGAAAGAGTTTCGAGTGTTGGCTGAATCAAGGAAACATGCTTCAGCGGAACACACGAAATTTAACACCACAGCGTGCGCTATTGAATTATTGATGCACGTAGGAAGTTACTAAGCCCGAAAGAGGCATAAGATTCGCGCGAGGCGATAGCCGAGAGCGACTCTTACGTGAACACAAAAAATAAGCGCGAAGACTAGTCTTCACCTCCCGTCAGCAGTGTACACCCATGGGCAAATGGTAGACACTTGATAGACCAGTGGCTGTACATGCATGAAAAATGCAGACAAGTCATTCGTGATTTTTGTATTTTCTAGGTTCAGAGAACGTGACGATCGGTGGCTTGAGACTTTTTTCAGCTCAACATAAAACCAAGTCAGCAAACATAATCTGTAAATCTCTGCTGAAAAATTGCTTTGATCTTAACATAAGATTAGTTTTTCCTTTTGTAATTATAATTTTAGTAAGTTCTATTCTGAATTGTAAGCATACTCCTAAGAATTTACAATATCAGCAAATGTTTAAAAAACTGTAATCAAGTGTGCCGCCGTTGGAGAACTGAGTACAAGACTATTTTTCCCTTTCAAGTGTGGTTATTAGTTGTGTCGTAAAGAAGTAGTTCTACACAAGTAAATGAGTTTGATCAATGAATATTAAGTATATATATATATATCAATTATTTCATATCAAATGAGAAAATAAAGAGTATGACAAGAACATTTGATCTTTTGAGTTTATGATCACCATCATCTTCAATGTGTCATCCTCATCATCATTATTATTATTGTAATCATTCAATTTTAGACCCAAGTATTTTATGCGTAATTCTACCAAAACTCTAGTTTCACAACTAGGGAAAAAACGAAACTTTATTCAATTGTCGTCTTGGAGGCAAAAGGTCAAATCACATTTTTCATGTTTCACCTCTGTAATTTCATTGAATGTCAATAATTTCTTCTGCACCTGTCTCTTAGATCAGCCGCAGAAAGAAAAAAAAATTATCCATCAATAAATCAGCGAGAACGTGCTAATACTTGGTTGTTTTTTCACTGAAAATCAAAACTAACACACCATTGACTGAAAACCATCGCCCGTCGAGCGAACAAATGTATTACAAAAGGAAAACAGTACTGAGGCGAGGAGGAGCGCGTTCACACCACATTCTTTTTGTATTCGTATTATTAGTATTACAATTACCTTTTCATTGTCAAATGGATATTGTTATCATCCTAATTTAAATATCATTTCTTTTTTTTTTCATTTTCATTTTTTCCCAGTACGCTCGACCGACGAAGCAAGAAAAGAAGAATTCGAAGTTGCTCTAAGTCTAATCTTCTCGTCACGCCAAGGTTAAAGCAATTTTGAGCAATTTTTTTTTTAAGCAATTTTTTTTTAAGCAATTCTTTTTTTAGCAATTTTTTTTTTTAGCTAAGCAGAAGCTGTTTTTAATCAGCCATGTGCCTTAAGGGTTACACCCTGAAGAATCACCATCCACGACAAAACATTCCCTGACACGTTTACAAGACAAGGATCCCCCGATTGGTTAACGCAATTGAAAAGATTATGATAACAAAGAACAAGTCTCACGAGTAGCTAAAAGGGAAGTCACCTGGCTTCATTTTTTCGATTAGCATTCTGAGATTTTCTAGTTTTCGACCTCTCTGCTCAAAAAAGACAGGCGAACTATGGATATCAAAACGTTGCTTCACAATCTTCGCGAAGAAGTTTCTTCAGTGTCCAGTGAGTACTAATATATACACGGATCCAAAACAACTCCCATGTCTTCACAGTTTCTGTCTGCAGTGCTTGAAAACCTGGCACAGAAAAAGCCATGGACGAGACACAATCAGATGCCCAAGATGCCTAGATTTTAGCAGAGTGCCTGAAAGCGGCGATTTTCCAACCAGTTTTTATCTGAACGGCTTGATTGATGTGTTTGCCACAAAAGAATGCAAAACCAGTCAAGCTGGATGTGGAAATTGTCACAAGAAAAGCTCCGAGAGTTCTTACTGTTTCGAATGTTGCATGTTTTGGTGTGGAGAGTGCCTCATTGCACATAACATCATTCAAGGCAGTAAAGATCACCGTGTTTTAGCGCTCAAAGACTTTCAAGAAAAGGACTACGAGGATGTGTTGAAACGACCTTTATTCTGCTCGAAACAGCTGCATGTGAAAGAAGAACTTAAATATTTTTGCAAGGACTGCGAAACGGCAGCTTGCTAAAGCTGTGTTTTGATAAATCACGCGGGTCACAACCTAGTACACCTTGAGGAGGAAGCGGAGAGACAAAAAATGGAAATGAAATCACTGATTGAAATACAGAAGCGCAATTTACAAGCAAAGATTGACACAATGGGTCGACTGAATGAAGACTGCGCTAAATTGATGCAACAACACGAAGACATAAAGAGAGAAGTAAAGACGTTTGTGGACAGTTTGATATCTAATCTAGAGACGAAGAAGCAACTTCTTTTTGCATCACTGGAACACGAAACGAAGAGGTTCCTAGAAACACTAACAACGCAAAAGACGGAGATTGAGAGTGAAATAAGGATCATCGAGTCATCGCTGAAAAAAGCTGATACAATTCTAAAACGAAGCACGCACGCCGAAGTCGTTCAAATGAAGAAATCATTGAAGAAAATCTTTCAGGGAGCTTATCAAAGCCGGTCGAAGGATCGTTACCAAAAAAAGGCTTCCTGTTTTAGTTCTTGTGGAAAACCCAAAGATGTTAAACACTGTAAACGCTGAGGAACTTGGAACGTTGCGAATGGCACACCAAACGAAAGCGAGTCAGTCAGCTGCTGAAGGCAAAGGACTTGAGGAAGGAATTACTGACTGTAAAGGGCAATTTTTTCTAACTACAAGAGACTCCGAGGGAAGACAGTGTTACAATGAACGTGACCATGTGACGGTGGAGATTAAAGATGAACAAGGACAAGAGTGCATCACGGCAATGCAAATAATTGACAATAAGGATGGACTCTATCAAATCAGGTATTCTCCCAGAAATGAAGGAAGATGTGAAGTGACAGTAAAGGTAAACGGGGAACATGTGCGGGGCAGTCAATTTATTGTCCTCGTAAAACCATTTCAGCTAAGACCCGTCTTTTGTTTCGGAGATCAGGGTTCGTTTGTCGGAAAGTTTAATCGACCTTGGGGTGTTGCAGTGAATGGTAATGACGAGATTGCTGTAAGTGATCAAGACAACCATAGAGTTCAAATTTTCAGCAGTGAAGGAAAAAGTTTTTGAGATCATTTGGTAAGAAGGGTAACAAAGAGGGAGAATTGGACCATCCTCGGGGAATAGCATTTCATAATAATGGCAATATTTTCGTGGCTGACGGTCACAATTATAGAATTCAGATTTTCAGCGGTGAGGGTGAGTTTGTGGGAAGTTTTGGTGAGAAAGGAAACCTTGACTATCAGCTTACTAATCCCTTGGGTTTATCGGTAGATAGTGAGGGAAATGTCATTATTACAGACGCAGATGACAAACTGATCAAGATCTTTTCTCCTGAAGGCAAGTTTCTAAGTAAATTAGGTGGGCAAGGTTCTTTAAAGTTTCCTGTCCACTGTATTTAATATGATAGCTATCTCCTAGTGTCAGACAAAGATGAAAACTGTATCAAACTTTTTCAGAGGAATGGAAACTTTCAGTACAAGTTTGGAAAGGAGGGTACTGGGGACAGAGAGTGAAATAATCCAAGACATTTATCAGTGAACAAGTCAGGACAACTTATGGTCTGTGACTCTTTAAATCACAGAATACAACTATTTGAAGAGAACGGAAAGTTTGTCAGTAAGTTTGGAACATATGGCAAAAGTGATTTTCTAGTTTTCGACCTCCCTGCTCAAAAAAGACAGGCGAACTATGGATATCAAAACGTTGCTTCACAATCTTGGCGAAGAAGTTTTTTCAGTGTCCAGTGAGTACTAATATATACACGGATCCAAGACACATTCCATGTCTTCACAGTTTCTGTCTGCAATGCTTGAAAAACTGGCACAGAATAAGCCATAGCCGAGACACAATCAGATGTCCGAAATGCCAAGTTGTTAGCAAAGTGCCCGATAGTGGCGATCTGAAAGATCTTCCCACCACTTTTTATCTGAACGGCTTGACTGATGTGCTGGCCATTAAAGAATGCAATACCAGCCAAGTTGGATGTGGAAACTGTCAAAAGAAAAGCTCCAAGAGTTCTTACTGTTTCCATTGTTGCATGTTTTGGTGTGATGACTGCCTCATTGGACATAACATCATTCAAGGCAATAAAGATCACCGTGTCTTGGCGCTTAAAGACTTTCAAGAAAAGGACTACGAGGATGTATTAAAACGACCCTTGCACTGCTCGAAACAACGGCACAAGAAAGAATAACTTAAACACTTTTGCAAGAAATGCGAAAAGGTAGCTTGCCAAAAATGTGTTTCGATAGATCATGCGGGTCACGCCATGGCGGACCTAGAGGAAGACGCGGAAAAACAAACGTTGGAAATGAAATCCTTGATTGAAACACAGAGGCGCGATTTACAAGAAAAGATTCACACTAGGAGTCGACTGAATGAAGACTGCACTAAATTGATACAACAAAGCGAAGACATAAGGAGAGAAGTGCAGACGTTTGTGGACAATTTGATTGTAAATTTGATTTGATTGAATTTGATTTGTAAATTTGATTGAAGCGAAGAAACAAAATATCTTTACAAAGGTGGACGATGAAACGAAGAGATTCCTCAAAACTCTAACAACCCAAAAGACGGAGATAGAGAGTGAAACAAACATCATCGAAGCATCGCTGGAAAAAGCTGGTACATTTCTAAAACGAAGTACAAACGCCGAAGTCGTTCAGGAGAAGAAATCATTTGAGAAAATCTTTCAGGAAGCTGATCAAAGCCAGCCACAGGACCGTTTCCAAGAAATGCTTCCTGTTTTAGTTTTCGTGGAAAACTCAAAGATGGTTACATATAAGAGTACATACATAGTTTATTTGTTAATGCAGGTTGGTAAAAGTCAGCCAATGGCTGATGTGGACCTGCCTATCTAAAACATTAAGGTCTAATTGCATTTACTAGGATAAATACAGGTGTGAAGTATATAAGAAATTAAGAGTATGTAAAAATTACTATGTCCATTGTAATCTATTATCAGTAACTGAAAGGATAAATAGATAAATTGAATTAAATAAATTGAATAAATTGTTCAGAAATAATAAAAGTCATCATCCTTGTTTGTAATCAGGCATGATTCCTTCGCGAAACTTAACACAATAAACGCCGAAGAAATTAGAACTTTGCAACTGGAGAACCGAACAACAGCAAGTCAGTCAACTGCTGACGGTAGAGGACTCGAGGAAGTAATTGCTAACCGTGAAGCGCACTTTACTTTGACCACAAGGAACGCTGAAGAAAGACAGTGTTACAATGAAGGTGACTATGTAACGGCGGAGATAATGGATGAACAAGGACGAGACTGCGCCACGGACTTGCGAATAACTGATAATAAAGATGGACTCTATAAGATCAGCTACTCTTCCAGAAATGAAGGAAGATGTAAAGTGACAGTAAAGGTAAACGGGGAACATGTTCGTGGCAGTCAGTTTATTGTCTTCGTAAAACCATTTCAGTTTAAACCTGTTTTATCTTTTGGAGAAAGCGCTCCGTCTCTTGGAGAGTATAGTTCGCCTTGGGAGGTTGCAGTGAATGCTAGGGACGAGATCGCTGTAACTGATCAAAGCGGCCACAGAGTTCAAATCTTCAGTAGTGAGGGAAACTCTTTAAGATCATTTGGCAAAAAAGGTCAAAAAGCAGGAGAACTGAACAATCCTCGGGGAATAGCATTTCAAAATAATGGCAATATTTTCGTGGCAGACAGTTCTAATGATAGAATCCAAATTTTCAGCGGGGAGGGTGAGTACGTAGGAAGCTTTTGCGGGAAAGAAAACCTTGATAGTCAGCTTTACAATCCCTAAGGTTTATCTGTAGACAGTGATGGGAACATCATTGTTGCTGATGCAGGTAACAAACTGATTAAGATCTTTTCACCAGACGGCAAGTTTCTAAGAAAAATAGGAGGTAAGGGCTCTTTCACGTTACCTTTCCACTGTATTCAGTATGATAGATATCGTACCGTGTCTGACAGTCGTGACCAATGTATCAAAGTCTTTGACAGGAATGGAAAGTTTTAGTACAAGTTTGGAAAGTGGGGACCAGGGGACGGGGAGTTTATTAATCCAAGATGTTTGTTAGTGAACAAGTCAGGACAACTTTTGGTCTGTGACTGTTCAAATCATAGAATACAAGTATTTGAACTGAACGGAAAGTTTGTTGGCAAGTTTGGAAATATCTAGGAGGATTCTGTGTCCCATGGGCATGCGCTGCCCTCAGTATTGGGCAATTTGTTGTTTTTGAACTTGGTAACCATCGTATCCAGATAATTGAGTAGTCCACGTTCGCTTAGGTTTATTTTGAGCAGAGTTAAATTCAACCGGTCAATATTAGTTTATGCATAAATGGATCGAGTTTTATAACGTAATATTGTCGAGTAAAAATAGCAATTGGGAAGAAATGAATAGAAATTTTATAGTGCACATATCCGTTCATTTTTGGCGGAGTGATAGGACTGAAAAAAGATATTAATCAAACTCATTATATATGCCTGTGAAGCATTCCGAGATAGTTGTATTGCAAGAGAGATTGTCATGTTTACAGAACTTTTATGATACATTTGGCGGTCATTATTTAGCAAACAAACGGTATTGGTTATTCATCATGATTTAGTTCACATACAATCACAGAACTTCTTTTTGTCAATTTTTAAGTGGAATAAAGATTAGAAAATCTGTGGGCAAGTTGTTTGTACATTTTTGGAAGAAAAACTAAAAAACAATCACTTAACTTGTGTTAATTAGGCTTCTTTCAAAGAACTTTAAACCCTTTTCTAGTGGCATATTTTGTAAATTAATGCCTTGAGATCTTATAAATAGTAAGGGCACTAGGATTTCTGTATACAGCAATTAAGCATTTAAGGTGCAGAGCCTTACTGAATAAGAGACTCAAGTCTTGACTGAATCAAACCAATATGTTTCAGTCAAACACAGAAAATAAATTGGACTTAAAAAACCAAAAGCTCTATCAGCATTGTAAGAGTGGCTAGATAATTGGTAATTCTTGCATATGACTAGTTCAGAGAACATTTGGGTGGCTTATGAATTTTCAGCCAATGACAGAACATTGTCAACAAACATTATCTGTAACTATTAGCTGAAAAAATAGCTTTTGTCTCAAGAAATGATTAGCCTGCCATTTCAAAATAAAAATTATTATTGTCATTTTTATTGTTAGAATTGAAAATATCTGTAGGAGTTTACATGTTAATGATCTCAGAACCCACATAATGCTTACATTCATAATGTAACTGAAATGAAGGACTTGGCAATTGAAGAAGACCTGGGCATTCAGTACAGTGTTTTCCTTATCTAGTTTTGTTGTAAATAAGAAGTTCTGTACAACTAAATTACATAGCTGCATTCATTTGATAGACATATCGAACTGACTTAATTTGTAAAATATCATATCTTCTAGAAAATAAAATTGATGTATAACCTGTTTGACCTCACATATTTCATAGAGATTTCATCATCATTATCATTACTAGTATTGTTTCCTCAACATTATCTATTCAAATCTCATGAGTGACCAAGACAGAATTTCTCCTTACAAGAATAATACAATACCAAACAGGAAACTGATGAGAAATGAGAAAAATACTAACTAGAGGATTATTAGTTGATCCACAATCTAATCCTCCAAACTAAAATCATGAGGAATGTACAGCAGATACTGAGAGATGGTATGGATCATTACTAATCAGTAATGAGATCTTCAAAGTGAAAGGGTTAAGAGGCAAAAATTTTGGCAACTTTCACTCCAGGATAAGATTATAATTTATTTGAAAAACATAGTACTGTATACATGTCGCAAAACTAAAGCTGCACTGCAATACTTCCCTCACTAAATTAAATAGCACTCCATCATTTCAAAATGTACTTACTTTTGGTTTATCTTTATCTTCTTCCTCCTCGTTTTCCTCTTCGATAACAACTCCAAGATCAGGTTCTGGTGGAATTCCATAATACACCTTGCTTTTGTTGGCTGCAGTGAGACAAAAAATATTTTCACAATAAGTAACAAGAACACACAGTTTCCACTTCAAGAGGACAGCTGGCTTATTCACAAACAGTTTTCACTTCAGAGGATCGCTGGCTTCCCTTTGTCCATGGAAGTTGACCACAACCTCCTGAATTGTTGTTCTCCTTCCCACTAGCAAATCCACCAAACAAACCACATTTCGTGGCAATAATTAACAAATGGTAAACACCACATCGTACACTTTTGAGTTATGGATGCACGCGGGAGGTTGCTAAGCATGAAAGAAGCGTAAGAGTCGCTCGAGGCGATAGCCGAGAGCGACTCTAGCTTCTTGAGTGCTTAGCAAACCTCCCGCGTGCATCCATAACTCAATAGTGTACGCTGTGGTGTTTACCATTTGTTTTATAACATAACATTGATACATTGTAGCTAAAGAGTTCCCTTTTATTTAACAAATCTTACGTGACCAGAAAAAACAAGCGCGCGCGGAAAAATAGTCTTTGCATTTGCTCACGTCAGCAGCGTNCGAAAATGTTTGCCAATTGACGAAGAGGAGTTTTTATGTTCTTCAATACGTTGGTGTAGATGACGGCGTGTGAAACCAACATAACCTGCATCGCACAGGTCGCATTGAAATTTGTAAACAAGGCACTGTTGGTTCACAATCGGCGGCTTAGCTTCTCGCAATTTCAGGTTTCGACCAATCTTCTGGCTAACAAATACAGGTTGTAAGGTCGTCTGGATCCTATGACTTAGATCTTTAAGTTGGGCACAAACAATATCAGCGGATACCTGACCCTTATACGGTAGGACAACGCGAATGGGGTCCAATTGATCGCGGACAGCAGGTAAGGAAACTGGTTGATCAGATACTTTGGCGGCAACAAACCGTGAAATGGTAGAATTGACTAGATTATCAGGATATTTCAAACGAGAAAATACTGATTTAAGTCGATCCCATTCTTCAGAGAAATAACGCCAATTAGATGAAAGAAAAAAACTTCTGAGTCCCTTATTATCCAAAGACAACAAATTCTGCAGTGACTGATCACCGGATTTTTCTTTAGTTAATTTGCAACCCAGCCAAGATACTAATATTCTTTCAAGGAAGTTCTTCACTGCCCTTAAACTTTTAACTTCTTGTTGTTGTCCCTTACCCTCAAATGTTGCCTCCCCAGTCACTGCTCCTGCTGTTGCTTCAATTGTTTGCTTATTCCGTGGTCTTCCTTCAAAAACTGAAGAGAATTCAAACAAAGATCAAATGTTAAGTTAGACCTTTGTCTTCACCTTCCAAGATAGGATGAGTACTTCTCGCTTCTAGCTGCTAAACTTTATCTGGTAAATTAGTTAGGACAATTTTTCTGATTTCAACATAAACCCCTTGAACTGAAAATTTTGTATCTTCCCTACGGCTATATGGGCTTGACTTTATTGATCCCGCCTCCTGAGTAGGAACTTTGCGGGGGTGAGCTCAAGCTCATTTTGTAAACAGCCACTGAACAGCCTGCTACGTTTTTATCAAGAAATGAGGATACAGGAGAATGGCATAGAGAAACAAAGAACTGTGCGGAAATTAAAATACAATCCAATCTCCAAAGCCTAATGGACTCCTCGAAATCTTACCATCAAAGTGAAGGTGTTGCTGAATCAAGGTAAGAAGCAATTCCTGCTGTTGATCCTGTAAAAAAAATAAAAACCCATAAAATACAATTAAATTTCTCCTGACATTACTGTGTAATTCAATATATTTTCGAGTAGAAAGGAAAATAGAGGAGAGAAAAATATCAACTAGGGGATTTTCTTTGATTTAGCACCAAATTCTCAGATCTAAAACTATAAATAGTGCATGGGAAACAAAATGAAGAATTGATTCTTCAGTCTTGGGTGTGAAAGGGTTAATAGTTCGCTTTTACCCAATTGTACTCTTTCCAGGGGACTCCACAGTATCTCTAATTAATGCAACAGCCAGGGCTGAAAGTACATTGCTTGATTTAGGGATTTAGGGTGCCAACCACTACCTTAGTGTTCTTCAGAGTAGCCAGGGCCCAAACTGGGCTCCATCTGCAGTTGAGTGCACTAACCATGAAGCCAGCATACCCCTCCCTACACACATAATATTCATAATAGTACCTGCAAATGCTTCTTGAGCACTTGGTATGTGTCCTTTGACATTCTGATTACAAATTTGTTGCTCCTGTTTCAAGTGATATACATTCAATGAATCAAGATGAAATCTCAATCCTGTTTGTACAGGTGGACACTTAGTAATTGTTATTTCACTGAAAGAATAAACTGTCAGTGAAGGTTTTGTGGAAAGTTAGCATGGCTGCTGTGTACACAAACAATTCATATAACTGATTTGTGAGGAGTTTTGTGAAGAATATATCGTAGGTGATGGCCTGTGGTACAACCCCGCACCCACCCTACCCCCTTTGCTCTCAAAAACAAAAAATAATAATAACTTTTTTTTATGTGTAGGGGTGGCTGTACACAGGCTATATGACTGACTTACCTTTGCTCTACAGTTTACTAATTTTTATAATTGTGCGAGGCTTGTAGTTTTTATACCACCCTCATAGAGTGTAATTTCTATAAGTTAAACAGCATAATAACCAACACCAAATATAGGATAATACATAACAAGTTTTCAAAGAACAAGCTGACAACAGTGCAGGGTAACAACCATTAAAAAAAAAAAAGTTGTGGCAACAACCATTAAAAAAAGTGGTTAGGCAACTGCTACACAAGCACACATAACATGTATGTTTACAATTTCAAGTAAAATTAATTCTTTTGACAGTCTCAACTCAAAACTCAGTCCTCAAGACCATTTTGATAATCAAGTACAGAGAATCAGGGCTCTAGAATCTAGCCTGATTGAGACACTTTGAGAACTTTTTGAGAATCTTAATCCCCAGTTTTGAGGAAACAATTTTACTCTCAAAGCAAACTTGACTCAGATGTCTACAAACTTCGACTCAAGCCTTGATCCTAGAAGTTTTCAAAAACATTGAGAATGGAACTGTAGATGGGACGCAGTCTATTTCAATACCTTAAGGTCCCCATGAGCTCATTACTTTTCATATGTTCACGCCGTGTTATGGCTGCCAACTTGCTAAGGTCTTCTTCATGATAATCTTCCTGACTCCCCCGAAAACAGGCAAAAAAAGATTGTGCTGCAAAACAAGCGACATGAAATGAAATGGCAGCCACTTCCAGAGAAGGAGTTCAGAGAAAAAACCTCTCTCAATATGGTTTTAGATATGAACCAGGAAAACTGGATCAGTAACACAAAGTAAAGTCTTGTCTGAATACGAACCCTTTAATCCTTTCATTCCTGAGATGTGATTAACTCTCTCCTCTAGCCGCTACACATTTTCTTGCGAATTGGTAACAAGAATTTGGTATTGGATCAAGATAACAATTTCTACCCGATAATTTTGAGTATTCTCATTGCTGGATAAAATAAGAATACATCATATCGAAGAGAGAAGATTCATGTTAATCACTTTTGGAAGTTAATGAGTGAACTCCTAAGATCTAATTCTTAATTCTCTCCCCTCCAGCTACTACACATTTCCTTGTAAGTCTTGAATGATGTATGTACATTAAAGGGAGAAGTTACATGTTAATCACTTCCAGGAGTTAGGAGGTTAACAAAAGGTCCTTTTGCATGGTTAAATAGAAAAAAGGAAATAGTCCTTTCTATGGTAGTACAGGTTTAGAATTTAAACAAAAGTGGACCCATAAGAGAAAACTGTTTATTTTTTTGTATCCTGATTTTTCATGTGCAATTTGCTAGTAAGCCTTGAGACATTAGGGCTCAACACTAACAGTAGCCCACTAGCCACAGACTAGTAGAAATTCAGTTTTGGC